CTGTGCTCACGACCTGGGGTTCAATCCCAGGTAGCCGGCTCAAGGTTGACTCAGCCTTCTATCCTTCCAAGGTCAGTAAAATGAGTACCCAGCTTGCTGGGGGGGGGGCAATGTGTAGCCTGCATAATTAACTTGTAAACTGCCTAGAGAGTGCTTGAAGCGCTATGGGGTGGTATATAAGCAGCACGCTTTGCTTTTGCTTTTTGCTTTTATTAAATGTATCGACAGAATTCTCTGTGGGGAAGCAACCCATCTTTTGAGTTCCTATATAATCTAGAAGAGAATAAATTCTTGAAATATAATTTGTTTGACCCATATCTTCAGCTCTGCTGCTCCATGAGATCTAAATACCTACTACCTATTAGTATTCATAAAAGTATCCTAACTGTTCTAATAGTATATTTTGGTCATTATCTTTTATTGGGTTTTTTAATAATCCCAGTATTTGAGAGGCCACATGCCTCTTTTAAAATTTTCAAGTGTCTTTTTCCCAATTTGGTAATATGAACAGGTTTCTCAAATTATGGACTCATGAATAAGTAAAGCCATGCTTATGTAAGTGAGCATTACTATTACAGGGGAAAGAAAAAAAAAGTAAACCTGAAGTGCATTCGCTGCAAGCTTTTATAACAGCAATGTTTCCTGGGTGTCAACATTATTATTGATGTGCTTAGCACTCAGTAGGTACTTAACATTTGAAGCTAAAAGGAGTTCAAATAATATCAAGCAAGAAGAGACTGACATTTTCACTGGTGGTATTTTGGTGTTCATTATGCATTGCCTACAAACTGACACCTTGTCATCTTGCCTGTCAATGGCTACATGGAGTGTTAAGTGCTGAGAAAAAGAATGGTAGCAAAGGACCCCACGGTTACTCCTCAAGTCTCAGTTGATAGGGAGGGCTTATAGCATATCGTGAAATGACTAACCCTTTCCCTGCCAATAATCACTCCATTGTGATAGCTTTTGGCACCTGTCTTTTTCACCAGCGCATTCAGGTAAATGTTTACCTTTGAAGATATGGCATCTTGGTTAAGCTGATCTTTTCCTCATTGGTCTTCTATTCAAAGGCTTCAAACCTACTCATATTTACTTGGGAGTAAGATTGCAGTTGGTGAGCTTCACTTCTAAGTAAGGATGAATATGATTACACCCCAATTCTATCATTGATAAGAGTTTCCCCCTTTAATAACACTTTACTCTCTCCTTTTTAATCTACTGTCTTTTCTTCCCTAACTTCAGTTGTTTTTCTCATTGTCTCACTAATGTGGCAACAACTGATTAGTGTTGTTTTATTTGTCAAGTCTTATAGAATAGTATTTTCAGAATGCTTTGTTAAGACAGAAATAACATAAAGTGATTCACATTTCTTCAAATCTGTTTGACTTTGGTGAAAAACTATACTTTGTTTGTTTGTTACATTTCTACCCAACCTTTCCGTTAAAAGATAGCACTCAAGACAACTTACAGTTATTAAAAGAAATAAAAACAGATAGAACCAACATTTAGCCAACTTAACCGACCAGATAGGCGGGATATTAAACAAACAAACAAACAAACAAACAAACAAACAAACAAATAAATAAATATTGCATCACTGTAAAACCATACAAATCAGTAGAATACTTTAAAAACATTAAAAACATAAACATTACAAAAGATACAGATTAAAAGCAGTACTGCACAGCAAGTTAAACATCAGATGCCTATCTAAATGACTGTACTGCCCTGCCACATAAAAAAATGGAATTACTTACGCTGAATGAAGGTGCTGTCCTTTCCATCTGTCTGTCCAGCTTCAGTCTTTAGTGGCATGAAAGATCTTGTATGTGTCTAAAAATATATGTATTGAACTCTCTCCTTTTAAAATAATTGGAGCTAATGTTTACTTTTTTGGATAATGCCTGTAAGGTACCCTCTAAATGTTAATGCTGTATAGATTCATTGCAAAGTTTCTCTTTTAGTATAATATTTGAATAAATACATTTTTATGCTGTTTGGAAAGCCAAAAAGAACAAACTTTAAAATATATATTTAACCATATACTGTATATATTTCTGCCAGCTTTTGGTGGTGTTTTAGCTATATCACTTCCTTGTAGCTGTAGTCATTCCTGCTTTGGTAACCTTCAGACTACTCAAATCCCTAGGTTTTAGTTTAATTGTTTTATATCAAAAGCTGCATCGATGTTATTACTACCACAAGACAAGTACGAGTGTTTTCTAACAACAAGCCTTGGCTAAATAGAGAAGTGCGCCTTTTATTAAAAGCCAGAAATGCTGCTTTTCATTCTGGTGATGAACTACAGTATAGAGAGGCCAGAGCTAAACTGAAAAGGGGCATTAGGGATGCCAAAGCTATGTACAGCCAGAGAATTGAACAACACCTTGAAAGTTCTGACACTCGCCGAGTGTGTCGTAGGCACGGCCTACGACAAATCACTGGTCAGAGTAACAAAAAACAGTCTGTGTAGCAGCAGTGATTTTTTGGCTGAGCAGTTAAATCAATTTTTCAGCCGTTTTGAGGTGGAAACAGGAACAACCATTATTCCAGCACCTACTGTCCATAATACATCACTAGAATCTACCATCGACAGACAACCACTAGTACTGCAGATTTCAGATGTGAGACACGCTTTCCAGAATATTAATATTCGAAAGGCAGCTGGACCAGATGGAATCATGGGACGAGTTATTAGGGGCTGTGCTGCAGAATTAGCTGGAGTTTTTACGGATATTTTCAATCTATCCTTGTTGCAGTGTTCAGTCCCCACTTGCCTGAAGACATCTATTATAGTGCCAGTCCCGAAGCAGTCAGCTGTGGTATCTCCCAATGATTATAGACCAGTAGCTTTAACATCTCTTATTATGAAATGTTTTGAGAGATTGGTGCTGGATTACATTAAGGCTAGTCTTCCACATTCTTTGGA